GCCATGTGAGTACCTGACGGCTCCGCTGTTTTCTCTCTTTTTGAGATAAAATTAATATAACCTAAAATTTATCACTTTAACCATTATAAAGTATACAATTCAGCAGTTTTTAGTACATTCACAGTGTTGTGCAACTGTTACCACTATCTAATCCAAAAACATTTCCATCACCCCCCAAAAAACCCTACACCTATTAATCCCATTTCCTCTCCCGGCAGCCCCTAGCAACCACTCATGCACTCTGTCTCTATACGTTTCCCTATTACGGACGTTTCACATAAACATAATCATATATGTGGCCTTTTTTGTCTGACTTCTTTTATTTAGCATCACATTTTTAAGATTGATCCATGTTGAGTGCCTGGGTGGCTCACTGGGTTAAGTGTCTGCCTTCAGCTCAGGTCATGATCAGAAGGTCTTGGGATCAAGCCCCGCATCTGTCCCGGGTGGGGATGGGGTGGGTCCCTGTTCAGCGGGGAGCCTGCTTCTCCCTCTGCCCCTTCCCCCACTCATGCTTGCTCTCTCTCTCAAATAAATAAAAAACATCTTAAAAAAAAGGTTCCTCCATATTGTAATATGTATCAGTACTTCGTTCCTTTATATGGCTGAAGCATACTCCATTACCTCTTCCTGAATACACAAGAGACACATATTTCTGAATCCCACTGGCACAGCAGAAAGCAAGAGGTATACTCATGGATGGGCGTTCCATGAGCAGAGGTGGAATGGGGTTGACAGTATCTTCCTGATACTGTTCACAGTTTTAATTCTGATGATCTTGGATAGAGCTCTATGGTTTTAAATTCATAGCGAATTCTGTGACTAACTTGGGACTACTAAAAATCTCACTTTTAAACATCAGGAGCCAACCTAAGCAACACGTTGCACAAAAAGCCTTTACTAACAAAGCCAGTGAAACACTGGCCCAGGCTCAGAAAGGAGACTGGCAGGAAGAGACAGGAAAAGAAACAAATCATTCTGAATGGGGCTGTTCCTGCTGGAGATCCTGTTAAAATTACGAGGTGGCTGGAGAGTTACATGAAGCTGAAAAGAAATGCTGCTTACTCCCAAGAATGGGCGATTCAGCAATAATCAAGACCCCTGCGTGGCAGAGTAGGGTTATCCTGTGTACTCGTTCTCACGGGAAAGGCCACCCTGTCCGGCCCCGGGGATCCATTAAGCCAACGAAGGGTGTCACCTGCATCCGCGAGATAAGTGCTATGTGCCTTCCAAAGGCCAACACTTAGGTGTCTAATATAGTTTCTTACTAAGTCAACAGGAAGATGAGAAAAGCAGCAAAAGGCTCTGAAGACAAAGCCGCATTGTGATCAAGTGTGACACCTGGTGGCTGACCAAGAAGAGAAAGAAATACCTTCACTCCAAATATTCAAAGATTTCACATCATGTAACACAATATAAAATAATGAGATGCCATTTTTTGACCCTCAGATTAGTAAAGGATTAAAAAAAAAAAAAGAAAACCATAACACGTGTTAGGGAGGATTCTGGGGAAGCAGAATAAAGGTGTAAATGGTACCACCTTTCCACAGGGCAATTAGGCTTTGCTGTCAAAAGAAACTGTAGAGGGGCACCTGGGTGGCTCAGTGGGTTAAAGCCTCTGCTTTTGGCTCAGGTCAAGATCCCAGGGTCCTGGGATCAAGCCCCGCATTCGGCTCTCTGCTTGGCAGGGAGCCTGCTTCCCTACCTTTCTCTCCGCCTGCCTCTCTGCCTACTTGTGATCTGTCTGTCCAATAAATAAATAAAATCTTAAAAAAAAAAGAAAGAAAGAAAAGAAACTGTAGAGTTTCACATTTCCTTTAAGTCAGAATTCTGCTACTAAGTTTTTTTTGTTTTGTTTTGTTTTTTAAGATTTTATTTCTTTATTCGATAGAGAGAAAGTGCACAAGCAGGAGGAGCAGCAGGGATAGGGAGAAGCAGACTCTCTGCTGAGTAGGGAGCCTGACACAGGGCTCGATCCCAGTATCCCAAGATCATGACCTGAGCTGTAAGCAGATGCTTAACCCACTGAGCCACCCAGGCGCCCTTCTCTGCTAAGTTTATCTTAATGAAGTCTTCACAGATGTTTGCCAAGATTTAGCTACCAATATGTCTCTAATGGAATTGCTTATAATAGCAAGAAATGGGAAACAATGTCAACATCAGAAATTAGGGTTCGCCATATTTTACGTATCTTTTGCCATGTACTAAAAGGGAAAGATGTACATCATTTACTGTTCACAAGAACACATCTTATATAAATATTTTGGTTCACAGGGAAAAAAAGAGTCCCCCACAAAAAAACACACCAAGCTGTGAACAAGGCAATCTCTGAAGGAGTACAATTATGGCAGAACTTTCATCTTCCACCCCATTCCTTCTGGGAGGAAAATAAAACAACTAACTAAATTACTTAATTTTTAAAAGATATTATTTTTAAGTAATCTCCACACCCAGCATGAGGCTCGAACTCACAACCCGGAGATCAAGAGTCACACGCTCTACTGACTAAGCTAGCCAGTCGCTTGTGAACTTATGATTTTTTTTTTTAAGATTTATTTATTTGACACAGAGAGAGAGAGAGAGAGATCACAAGTAGGCAGAGAAGTAGGCAGGGGGTAGTGGGGGGAAGCAGGCTCCCCGCTGAGCAGAAAGCCCGATGCAGGGTTCAATGCAGGACAAGACTAGGGCCTGAGCTAAAGGCAGAGGCCCAACCCACTGAGCCACCAGGTGCCCCTATTATGATTTTTTCTAACTTATTTTTTAATTTTGGTGAAAAAATTTGCAGAACCAGCCGGACAGCATAGGAGTTGACTACAATGATAGTTTAGATACAGAGGACAGAAACACCAGAGTCTTTGAGCCACTGCTGCTCCCCCGAACCCTTCAGAGTTTCTGGCTAGCCCAGTGGCCCCACTACCGGCAGAAGCAGTTTCAAATCTTCCCACTCTTTTCAAGATCCCTCCCCCAATCCTGCCCCCTGCACTCTCAGCAGATGACTCCACATTCTGCATCACAGGACGAAAAAGAACAGGCCATCACGCAGGAACATTTTTAGGTGTCTCCTGCTGTTCTTGCAAACACGTCAAGATTCCCACAAACCTTAGTGGAGTCATGGAGAGATGTTCTTCGCTTTTTCATGACCACATCACGCCTCCCTCCCGAAGTCAAGGAGGAAAAGGGCTGCAAAACCATTAGGATGCAACCAGATGCTTAAACCCGACACCATTTCATGTGAATCAGAATAGTCATGGGAAAGCAGCAGACTATAGGGGACCGTGGGGTAAAGAGGAGAGGTCGCCTCAAATTCTTCATGAAAAGATAAGGGAGTTACAAATAAATGCACATATTTAAGTGGGGACAGCAAGCACAGATGACTTCATTTATCATTACAGTATAATTAACGTGTGGTAAACTGTACATATTCAAAATGTACAAGATTTACCACGTGAATAAGCCCATGAAACCATTACCACATTCAAGATAATGAACACACGCATAACCCTCAGAAGTTTCCTCCTGCCCCTTTATTTCTCCCTCCCACCACTCCTTACCTCGGGGTGGGGGCGGTGATGGTGTGTGTGTATCTGACTTCACATGGCTATAAACTCGGCGAGAG